TGTGCACTTTTGAGATTCCAATATGTGACTTACTCATACTTTCTAATAATAATGAGGAGGACAAAAGTGGAAGTTATTATTCAATAAATAATTTGAGGTCATTAGAAAGGTTGAATGTGTCACTTAACCCCAAAAAATGACCAAACTGTAAAGTTTCTCTGTGCTATAGAAAATTGAGAATTGAACCTGAAGAACATCCACTTGTCCCTTCCATCCTCATTGAATAACAAATGGCAACAGAAAAAAAAAAACTTAATTACAATCAAGTTAAAGTAAATTTTTCTACAGGATAAGTCCATAAGTTATGGGGAAGGGGGGTATATAAAAGAGTTCATCGAAAAGTTACAGAATTCCACCACTTGAATTGTAATTAAATCATTATGGTGCATGGAAGAGGAAAAAAGGGGTTCAATAGAGAATTTTTTGATAATTAAGATCCCTTTCGTCTTGTTCCTTATTCCTAAAAAATTCTGCACTATAATAGAAATGAAAATTGAATATAAATGCAGAGAAATTGACATAAAAGGTTTCGTGTGTAAAATGTAACAAGTGTGAATTCTCGATGACTGTTTGTTAAGTAGCAGACATAGGTAGGAACATTTGTCATTAATTAAAATTTTCTTTTATATCTCTTGAAAAAATGGCAAGTTTGAAACTTTGAGTTTTGAAAGAGATTTAAGGCGAACTTTTAGAGTAAGAATAACGGTTTTCAAAAATTTTAATTTTTTGTTGCTAATTTCATACTCAAAATTTAACGGATTTTGAAAATTAGAATTATTTTTCAAAAATTTGATTCAATCCAAAGTGACCCCAAAACACAAATCGTTAAAAAGTCGCATATTTCATTTATGTTGTTTCGATTATCATGTTTCACGCATGACGACACCTCTTTCTCTAGCACATCCTTGATTCATGTGTGATATTTAATTTTTTTTATAGCAGTCGTCATTAGATCTTGATGCTAATGATTCCGAGATTCTTGTATGTTTTCAATTGCTAAGCGATATTGTTGAATGGAAAATATTTTACACATTTAAGGCATGTGTCTTTCACCGTCTACATACAATCATAGCAACCCTTTTAACTCTTCAAAATAAAAGTGAATCTTTTTACTTTCCCCATCAAAAGCTACTTGTTATTTTTTCATAAAAGGACACGAGAATTGAAAAATTGGAAAATTAATACATGAAGTACATTGTATGCTGTATCTTTTAATTTAAAAGCCGATGTAGAGATGACTGAATGGATGGAAAAAGAAGACAATTAAAAGGATTAAAAAAAAAATTTTCGCTTTTTTTCTATTTGATTATTTAATACAATTATTGCCTCCAACTTTTATTATTTTTGCAGCTAATACAATCATCGACGTTGTCATTATTGCTCGCGTGGATCCTCCTTTAACATGGAAAAGTGCTTCATGGTCTTGATTGTTATGGATTGTGGGGGTTTTGGAGAAGAGAAGTGAATTCTGCTATATTCATGGTTGCTTACTTGTGAGATCTAGTAAGTTTTGGAGAAGCTATTTGATAGGTTTTAATATTTTTTTGGACAGCCATTGTGAGACAAAAGGTCAAAAAGTATAAAAATAATCTATGCCAAAACGTAGCCCAAATGAATTATATTTGAATTCGATAGTTTTATTTTTGAGATTCGAACTCAAGACAATGAATTATTATTTTTAAATTATAGTGATTAGACTTGAAGTAAAGTTGGCAAAATGTTCTTCTTAAACTGTCAACCCCACACTGTAATTGAACCCCCAACCCCCAACGCTCAAAAAAATTTAAATACATATTTCCAAATATCGGTAATTTATTCGAATTTGTATTTTCTTTTTATGCAATAATTTCATTTTAAAATTTATTGCTCACCGTAATAAGTATTTTTATGTCGCATCTTGATAACTCCTTTCCGCAATTTTCCTCGCTATTGATTTTCTTCCTGTGGAAAAAATTTTCTCCCTTCCGAAATTGCATAAAAATGCTATTTTTCTTTAATTTGATAAATAAAATTGCGATTTCTATCGGCAATAAATGAAAGAAAAAAAAAGGCAAGAAGGTAAATGTTGCACCATTCAGTGAATGATACGCTACAGCTATTGTGTGCCACAAAACATTTTGCGACTAGCTTTTTTTTTGGTGAATGTGTCACATGAAAAGATTAGATGAATCTATAGACCATATAGATCCTCAACATAGAAGACAGAATTATTCATAATTCATCAGAAATTTTCATTCGTCACCGAACACAAACAAAAATGAAAATCGGATTTCCGTTTTCGTCTCTTTATGTGCCTTTTTTCGGATAGTAGAGGCTGACAACAACAACAAAAAAAAATCTTTCATTGAAGCGTAAATCTTTCCGCAAAGCTCGACTGATTCCAATAATTATAAACATCCCCATCGAGGCTTCCATTCGAGTGGAAATTATTCATCAAGAGTGAGAGTGATAAAGGCAATAGCTTTGATCCCTATTGCAATTTTAGTATAATATTTTCCAATTGTTGTTTACAGCCTTGATTTCTTTTTATGATGAATAATTTTCAGGAACGAGTCAGAGAGTTTGCTATCGAGGAAAACAATAATTTGTCATCATGCCTTTTTGATTTCTACATCTCGTCTAGTTCTGATACAATATGAATCATGTGAAAGAGTATCTGTGATGGCTTTTTTTTGGCGAGGGATGGAAGTTTTTGAGAGAAACTAGAATCTTTCCGTTAAATTTTATATTTCAAATAATCAGTGAAATTCAAAATTAAAATAACCTTTAAAATTCAAATCTAAAAAGACAGTTATTTTTTTTGAAATTATCAATTCAAAAACTAGTCAAAACTATCAATCCCTTGCACCCAGTCACTAAGAAAATCTCAACAAAAAGAATTATTTGTGTGACAAATGTGATATACAGTGAAACCGATCCTATCATAATTTTTATAATGTATGCGTCCACACATCACATTTCTAACATTTTCCAATAAATCATTGGCACATCTGAAAGGATATATATATTTTTTTTATTCCTCTATTGTTGATTCCATTTCAACTCCTGTTGCACTTGACTATCCTCGTTTTATTCCATTTCAAACTCAATCACGTTTTAACAATTCATAACTTCTATGGACGTATACAATACACACAGATTGCAATATACTTGATTTTTATGAATATGTAGAAATGGGGGGTGGGGGGCAAGGTATGAACGAAAATTGGCAGTTATTAGTTTTTCGTGAATGTTCAATATACCTTTTTGTTGCCAAACATTTCTTTTGTTTAATGGTGTAATAAAAAAAGAGGCAAAAATGATTTTTTTTCTACGTTTTTTAATAAAACTTTGAATGATTAAACAAAAGCAAAAAGTAAAAAATTAATTTCACTGCCAACTTTCTATTGCTTTTTATTGTTTAAGAGAATGAAAATTAATATTGCAATATTAAACAAAGGCAGCTGAATATCCCACAAATCAAAAGGTAATTATCAAATCCAATGACAAAAAAAAAGTTCACAGAATTCAATTTTTTATTCCATATATGCAATTATACATCTTATCCACTTGTGAAAATCTGTCAAACGGTAAATTAATAGCTCGACAATATATGCGACAAAAATTCAAAATAAAAAGTTATGCAAAAAAAATGCCAGCTTTGAGATACAATTCATGTATGTATGATTGTGGGAAAAAAACAGCAATATTTATGCAAATCTAATGGAGTAGCATTTTGTGTGTGAATTCATCCATAATAGATTGAATTGCATTGATTGCAACATACGGTAACAGGCAATTTCCATCTATAGACAAATATTTTTATCATATCAAAGTTTTTTTTTGTTGCCTTTTATTTCCCCTCATATTGCAACTCCATCCGGTTCAATCATTCATATTCATTTCGATGCTGTTGCATGTGAAGTTCAAGCGATATTTTTTTTCAGGGAGCAATTTTTTTTTTACTAGATAAAATACACATTGATAGGTGAATGAGGAAGAGGATATGTACGTGATGTTTCGAGTGTTGATGTTTTTTTTTTGTTGTGATGCCGCAAAATTGAATATTTAGGAGATACAATTGTGATAAACTGATGGATATTTGGGGTGAATTCAGGATATAAGGGATTTGATTGTAATTTTAAAGAAATTCAAGTTTAATTCAATTTAACGTTCTTTTGAGATTTGAATTTTAACGTTTTATTTGATATTTGAATTGTTTTGAAGCGACGCTTTGAAATATTGACAAATCCTCACGCCATTAAACGGAAAAATGGAGCGTTGATTTCGAAAAAAGAAGCAACGCTTCAATATTTAAATTTTTAACGGAAAATTTTGCGAAAATTCTAATTAAATCCCAACAATCTTCAATATTCCTTAAAATACAAAATAAAGCGTCTCTCAAACCTCAACATCATTCAACAAACCAAAAAAAAAAATCCCCAATTTATGGCCCTTTATAGATCACTTTATGCCTCAAAACATTCGAAATCCATTCTTACGATTCAAAAGGCAAACACATTTTTACGATACAACATTTTATAGCATATCGAAATGCAGCAGAATTTCATCTCACACCAATTGGCACTGCCATAAACTGACGAAATCTTTCAATCTATAACTTGCTGGTTGCAATAAAAATTTGTTTCTCTTTCAATTCTATTTTTTTTTATTCGGGAATATGTCGAACATGTGGATGCGATTTGCAATCAACAGCATCATAAATGGAAAAGGAAAACTGATGTATGAGTGAATAAAAAAAAGGATATCCACAATGGAATTATTGGAATTTAATTGCTTTTGATATTGTTGAATGCACATGATGACATGATGATGTGCTGTGCAGAAATTCAAATTGTTCATTTTTGTCGCATTTTAGTTGAGCATGTGAAACTTTATATCCACAGTTCGGTGAGGATGGTTTTGTGAACTTTTAACATTTTTGACATTTTTCTTTTAACAGGGATGGGAATGCATCCCAAGTCCCAATATTAAGTATGTTAATAAAAAAATGGACTTACCTTTCTTCGGAATGAGTGACTTGAGCAGCAGAATAGCTTGATCATCACAGGCCCATGCATGCATCTTACGATAACTATCACGTCCTTTCTCGGTCAATTTATCCCATGGTTTTGGCTTCGACAGCAATTCCGATACGGTTCCTTGCGACAGCCCCAATACGTATTTAGCAAATAATCGTTGACCAATATTATGCACCGACAGTAGTTCCCTTACACGACGTGAGATGTGAAGTGTATCGAGATTTTGATTAGCATATTTATCCATGTTGTAGCGTAGCATCTCTTGGAGACGTGCTTCCATTGGATCGCCCTTTGGTATAAGTGAATCACCTAATCGTCCTGCCATATGGCCAAGCGGTAAGTGCATTTCATCAGCAAATTTATAATGATTATTACCTCTTTCACTACCAAATGGATTGAATTGTAATCCACCAATCGATAATGGCCCCGAACCATTATGCAGCAGAGGATGATTGTCCTCGGATGGACTCTTTGACATTGGCGGTAATGACATGGGTGTCGTAACACCACCACGACTATTCATATTATCATCGCATCGACCCTCCTGCAAGATTGGTGTACTTGCCGTTGATGATGCTTCATTATGACTATTCTTATCCACGCTATCATGCGATAAATTATGATTTTGATTATTCTGTTGATGATGTTGATGATGAGGATGATGATGAAGGTTGTGGTGGTGTTGTTGTTGTTGTTGTTGAAGGTGGTGTGGAGTGCTTAAGCAATCTGTGAAATTAGGAAATTGATTAATCATTCGATTATGCATTGATGTGGTAAGCTTTGATAAGTGCGACGACGATGTTGGTCCAATTGTCATATTTGATTGTTGTTGGGAATTGGATGAGGACGCACCAATACTTGATGACATTGGTGGTGGTAAATCAATAAAGGAAGAGTGTCGCCAATTATTAACAATTTCTTCGCCCAACATTGAACTGAATTGTTCAACATTTTGTAATGGTGGTGGTAGGATGGTTGATGAAGGTGTCGATGCTGGACGTGTTTCAATTTTACTGTTGCTACTATTATTATTATTAACATTATTATTATTGTTGCTGATGTTGTTGCTATGAATATTGTTATTATTATTATTGTTACTAAGTTTATTACTGATATTTTTAAGTTGCTGTATTGGCGTAAGGATATCATGAAAGCTATTATACTTATTATTATTATTGTTGTTGTTGTTGAGATTATTATTATTATTATTATTATTATTGTTATTATTGATAGATGGCACTGTTGATCCTGTGAATGAACAATTAATATCAAAGATATAACATACAACATGGTACTTTAGAGATTTTTTTATGTGTGTGATTGAATTTTAATAACAATGATCAACAATCATGCAGCTTTGGTGCAAGTCTTGGTCTTTGGGAAGTCTTGTTTTAATTTGTGGAATTTTATTATTAAGCTTTTGTCAACTTTTAATACAGTTCAAAATTAAGAAATCAGTTGACAAGGACTGAGTCATAGGTTCAAATCCTTACAATTGAATTTAATTTATCTATTAATAGAGAAAATTTCCTTTTTTTTTAAAAAAAAATCAATTTTTAAATGTTGACAATTTCATTTGAAATCACAGCAAAAATCCCAAAACCAAAACCAAGACTTGCCATCTTCAATAAACAACTTTCTTCGTCTAATAACAAGCACATAAAAATGAAGTTAATGATTGAAATGAATGAGAGACACTTAAAAGCTTTCGATAATTATTTGTTAGATTTTAAAAGTAATACAGCATTTTATGTCGAGTCACAACTTCCATGGAAAGTCCATAAAGGTAGCAAAAATAAGTCCAAAAATTGCAATAAACAAATAAAGGCAGATGAAGAGAGACAGAAGAGATGAAATGGAAATGAGATGAATGGCGAGCGAAGTAAGTAGAAGTAGTGGAAATTATATTAAAAAAACGTAAAATAATTGGCGACTGTAAAATTGGTGGCACTTAAATTTAATTAATTTAAAGAAAATTTCCTGTTTTTTTTAATTCTCAAATTATTTTAAAAGATTAAAGAAGTCACTTACCATCACTTGATGATTTTTCACTATGTGCTGCAAATGCTTTCGTATGTTCTAATAAAAGTTCTTGGAATTGTTTTGAATCAGTCGTTGTTGTTGTCGATAAATCAACAGATCTTAGATTACTGCACGTTAGAAAATGGAAGAAATAAAGAATATAAAAAAATATTAAATAAACATGTGTGGCTTCATTTTTTCGCTAGTCAGTCAGACAGGCAGATCGGTTAGTCGGTCACATGAATGTGCCATAAAATGTAAAGATTCTGGAAGATTTTGTTTTATTGCCACATTGTAAAATATCATAACATATTGTTGCATCATGTTCTCATTTGTTAGCTTACTATTCTGTTTGAGGAACCGGTGTTATTTCTATTTTGTCTGTCTGTACGATGGTTTGTAGTTCAAATAAACTTTCAGTTAATTTTTCAATTATTTTTTGACCGCTATTTTTTCAAATATTTTTTGGCAATTATTTTTCATAAAACTTTAGATGCGCCTTAGTCAGCCACACATGACCACATCCACAACAGTTTATGGATCGTCTCATCATTGACTTTGTTGTATTTATTTATGATTCGAATCATATGGATTCAATAAATATTCATTCAGCTTAACAGAGAAAAAGGCACAGACAAAAAATCGCCGATACAAATATTTACGAATGCAATAAATCCTTTTTTTTGGATTCTTTTGACTCGGCACAGACAGAACAAATGTGTTAATTTTTTCATTCTGAAATCTTCTCGAATATCTTTACATTGTTTATGTTATTTTTCATCCATGTTTATCCTTACCTAGTATCCTTCTTCATATCCTCAAAGTCACTCTTGCTTATTCTATTTTCTAAAATTATTATATGTTGTCTTTTTGCTTCCAAACTTTCTTCTAGTCGCTGAATTTTGACATTGTGTGACTCTTGAAGGGCTTGAATTGCTGTACGTAGTCGAGCTATTTCTTCGATTAGGATCTTTATCTGGAAGAATAAATAAGGAATTTATTAGAATTTATTTTGAGGTTATGTTGGTCAATTTTGAGGTTATGGTCTCAAAAATGACGATTTTTAGGTTAAAACTGTAAAGTTTAACAATTTTGAGTCAATTTTAAAAGAATTTGAGGTTATATAATTTTTTTGAGGTTATGTCCGCTTCCAATATTCACCATATTCTACCAAAACTAGCTTCTTATCTTCAAAAAATTTAAAATTATAATAGCAGGAAAAAAACAATTTTAAATCTTCACAATCTGAAATCTGAATAACTTGTGAATTTACACAAATATCGACTTAATTGCCTCCGCATTTCCCATTGATAAGACAAGAACAAGATAAGACACAATACATCGAATGAAAATCAACGTGAGAGATTTAACAAAAAATTAATTAAACAAAAAACTTTTTAACTACTACAAAAAAAGAGTGAAAAATTTATTAAAATTGTTGTCGGGTGAAAAATCAATGCCTTAAAGGGGTTATTAAAGATTTTTCACTTCCTCCCCTTTTTATTTCGTTTAATTCTCACTCCCACTGCTATCTACACACAAATCCTATTGCCATTGTAAGAAACCAAACAACCATAAAAAACAATTCGATTCTGGATTTTGATTCATTAATTTTCATTTGTTCTTAAATCTTAAATGGGATGGAGCTACCTCCTTACTCCAAGCTCTGATAAAATAATGGAAAAATATAAATTTTATTGAAAATTGAAGCCTTTCTCGCTCATTTTCTGTATATATCTTGATAATGGTAAGGAGGCGCTTCCATCTTCACATTTCATTCAGTCATTGAACAAAGATTTTCATGTCTTTTTAATAAATAAAATATAAATGAAAACAATAAATCAAAATTTCAATATGAATCTGACTATCTATCTGATTTTTGGGGATGTATTTTGTAGATTCAAATCTATTGAATGGGGAAAGGGGTGGATAAGGAAGGGTTATGGATGAGGGATGGGGAATTGGATTTATGGAGCTTGTTGCTGAATGTTTTTGAAAATTTAAAAGAATTTATGGGATTTGTAGATTTAAATTTTTAAAAAGCCGTTAAAATTTGAATTTCAAAAAGCCGTTAATTTTTTTTCAGATTTAATATACTATGAAAATTTAATAATCTGTCCAAAACAAACCCTTGAAGAATTTCAAACCCACTCCAGAACATCTCCACAACCCCTGAAAAATCTCCTTTAAATTCCTCACAGATCCCACTTATAAAATTTTCAAAAAATGACAATTTATGTGTATCTACAAATAAATTTATGTTCTCTTCTTTTTCTACCTCCCCAAAAAATAAAATATTTCACTCCATTCATTCCTTTCTCTCCAGAATTTTCAAGATGAGTATTTTTCCTGTTGGCATTCAATCAAGATATGGCATCAAAAAAAAGTTGTATGTGTTTTTAAAATAAAATGAACATCATTTGATTGGGTGGAAAATTTCAAGTATTTTTCTATGAGTGCGGGTTACTCTCATCCTTGCTTTTTAACCCCACAAATAAGTTATAAGATGAGCAACAACAAGCACTCTCGAGCATATTGAAAAATCAAAATCAAAAAAATCTTTTCAAATAATTTTTCGTCTATAATTTTTTTTTAAAAAAGAAGTTTTTGGAATGAGAAGTTTGAAATGGCATAGAATGAGAGTCAGGTAGCATCATGATTTTAATAAAATTTATCAGAAAATATTTTTATCTATAAATTTTTCAATTTTTTTCCCTGCCGCATCTACCTCAACACAGGAGAATATTTTTAATAAAAAATTTTTTGAGATTAATTTAGAACATTTTGAGGCGGGTGGATTCGCTATTTAAAGGAAGTTTTCTTTGTTATTAAATTGTTTTGTAGTGATTTTTTGGCTTCGTTGAGTAAAATTAATTTTATCTGCTTTGTAGTTGTCGATGGAAATATATTTTGGCGGGAAAGTGAGAGTGGTTTGGGGTGGATCTGAATAAAATTCCAATTTATCAATGTTTTTGGCGGGAAAACAGGATAAGGAGGGGTATGAACAATTACTTCTCACTTTTGGCGGGAAACTAGCTTCATACCCTACCTAAAACCCATTATTCAGCTAGAAATCATACCAATCCCCTACATTCTCATCTCAAATCAACAAATTTCAATCAAAACTCCATAAAATCTAATCTCAAATCCACCTGCCGTTCAATAAACATCATTACCCAAGCAAGTATCAATACTAAATGTCCCGGAAAATTCCAAAACACATCTAATGATTGAAATTAATATTTATGATCCATGCACCGTACTACAACATCGTGGATATTTTTGGATACTAAAAGTCATTTAAATGAACAAGTGTTGATGCCATTTGTGATAGAAAAATCATTTATTAATATTTATTGAAGTCATCTGCTTCCTTTCTATTTTAATTTAACTTTTTTCCACTGTCTCTCCCTTTAGTTTATTTCTTTATTTTTTCGTGTCCATCACATGTGTATGTGTCGTATAGTTTTTACATTACAGTATGTAAATCAATAAATATATGAGGCAAGAGACGAGGAAGTCTGGAATAGGATAGAAAAAAATTCACACTCGAATGACGAAAACCAACAGTTTTTGTGTAAATTCTATTTATGAAATTTTTCGCAATGATAGTTTTTTTTTGTATGTAGCATGTAGGAAAAATGTGAAAATGCTATTCTGACTTTTAATCCAATTTTCTATGAATACAAATTTTTTTATATAAATGTGCTATAGTTTTTATTCATAAATGAATATATTCAATTTTCTGCATGGGGATCTTTTATAGGTAAGGGGGTGGAGTGCACTATGGGGCAAAATTGAAAAAAAGGGGTAATTCACTTCGAAAATAGGACTCTTTCAATTTAGGTTCTCGGGGTATTTTTTTCTTGTAGAGGACATTAAATTAGACTTGCATGCCAAATTTCAGACCATTTTGTGCTGTTTTTGAGATTCTAGAGCTATTTGAAGTTGAAAATGAGCAAAAAAACTGGTTTTTTCATGACATATTTAAACTTAAAAATCTCTGCAATGTTTAAAGTTATTGAAAAATTGTTTTCGGTTCCTATAAGAACAATATAAGAGCTTTATTTTAATGTATTGTAAAATTTTTAACTTTCCAGTTTTGGTGCTGGTATGGTTGGAAATGTACGAAAATCCTATGAAAAATATCTATAAACGTGCCGCAACTATCTTAGCAGGTCGATTTCCAGGTGATTGAATATACAGAAATATAGCTCTTGATATACAGTTTGTAAAACTGTATAAACATTAGAAATAACAAGGTACGTTTTTGAGAAAAATTGGTTTGTGTAAGTCGTGAAATATTAAGCCAAAAACTGATTTTTCTTTTAAAAACAACAAATCATTCATAGTAGAAAAGTTTTGTAATGTTTTCTAATTAAAAATAATATTTAAAGACAACCTGCAAAGATTTTTTTTCAAAAAACTCAAAATTTGACGAGATATCGGGTACATTTGATATCTGATGACTTGTATGTTTTTTGCACCACTCAAATGACTCTAACTTTTGTTTAACTTAATATTTTTCAGTTCTGTTTCCTGTTTATTGTAGCCTAAGTCAATACCTTTCTAACGATATATAATACTTGATAGTTGCATATGACATTGATCTTGATTATTGGCATTGTTTGTGAATGACCCCAAACTAAGAAAAATCTTGAAAACGACATTTTTAGAAATACCACTTAGAAAGAAAATTGTGTATTGTTTTGAGGTTTTTTATGATGATTTATGATAATTATGACTGTTAAAACTCAAAAACATGGAATTCATAAACTTTTTGCGATATCAGGTAGCCTGATTAAGTACGACTCTAGTAGTATCTATTGGACCAGAAAGTCTCTAGGATCAGACTATTTTAAAAACTCAAATTAATGAATTCATCATATTTAAGCATATTTATAGCAAAATATTTCATTTTTAGATACTTTTGGTTGATAAATTGTGAATTTTGGCTATTTTGTTTAAGTTCAGCTTGCGTCGGTCACATTCAATCCACTCTAGGTGCACTTTTAATGAAGTTTTATACCAGTATTATACATCTTCTTAAAGGTACTGATTTAAACTAGCAATAACTAAAAACAGAATGCAAAAATATGTATCCTGAAAAAAGTTAGAGCTCTTTATGTACATCAAAAAGCATACAAAAACGCAACCATCATAGGTAAAAATGCAAAAATTTAAAATTTCAACGAAAATCTTACAAAAAAGTATTGAAAATGTGTTTATATGTGGTTATTATTACAAAAAATCAAAGTTTGTCAAAAAAAAACTGATAAATTTTCAATTTTTGTATTTTTACCTATGGTGGTTGCGTTTCTGTATGCTTTTTGATGTACATAAAGAGCTCTAACTTTTTTCAGGATACATATTTTTGCATTCTGTTTTTACTTATTGCTAGTTTAAATCAGTACCTTTAAGAAGATGTATAATACTGGTATAAAACTTCATTAAAAGTGCACCTAGAGTGGATTGAATGTGACCGACGCAAGCTGAACTTAAACAAAATAGCCAAAATTCACAATTTATCAACCAAAAGTATCTAAAAATGAAATATTTTGCTATAAATATGCTTAAATATGATGAATTCATTAATTTGAGTTTTTAAAATAGTCTGATCCTAGAGACTTTCTGGTCCAATAGATACTACTAGAGTCGTACTTAATCAGGCTACCTGATATCGCAAAAAGTTTATGAATTCCATGTTTTTGAGTTTTAACAGTCATAATTATCATAAATCATCATAAAAAACCTCAAAACAATACACAATTTTCTTTCTAAGTGGTATTTCTAAAAATGTCGTTTTCAAGATTTTTCTTAGTTTGGGGTCATTCACAAACAATGCCAATAATCAAGATCAATGTCATATGCAACTATCAAGTATTATATATCGTTAGAAAGGTATTGACTTAGGCTACAATAAACAGGAAACAGAACTGAAAAATATTAAGTTAAACAAAAGTTAGAGTCATTTGA